GGTGCGAATTGGTGAAGATGGTCGTCCGATTGTGTGCGACAAGCAAGAACGAAACGAGAAAGTTATAACTGTAGATAGACCTGTAAGTTGAAGTTTTTATCGTATTTTGGTTGAAATTTGGTGCATAGCACTCAAAAAATTCCATCATTTCTTGCCAAGTTCTTCTAACTACTTTTCTTCGAATGTGTATAAAGGATTGAGAGACTCTGTCACACATCTTGCCAAAATTATGACAAAAAACTACCATGAGCAAACATCGATGTATAGTCGGTCGCTATACATATGCGGCAAGGCCAGAAAAAATCTTGCAAACAGCGTCGCTTTTGACTTTATTCATGACCAGAAAAATGTTGTAAAGGGTGAAGACATTGGAAAAGTTTCAAGAAACTCACTTTATTAAGAATCAGAAAAAAAGACTTGAGTGGATGACAGTCATGCACGTAAACTTGATATTCTACTCGTAATCATAGGGAAACTTGTTGCTGAACCTGCTCAGATACTAATATCATTGCTACAATGAATTTCTTGTGCCAGACTGAAGTAACAAGTCCCTACGAATTAAGAATTGTCATTGCCGTTGTCTTTTGAAAAAATATGCATATCGAAAACGAGAAACATAAAACATCTTCGAACAATTCATGTTACTACTCATTTCTGAAATTGCGTTTCTGATTTTCCCTGGATCAGCTACATTAGGTTGGGACATGAGTCTTGCACCAGCAATTCCAGAAATTTATAAATGCTCAGAATATTCGTATAGTTTTTTTTTTGTATGTGAGATATGAAGTAATTTAAAAATATCAGACGAAAATGAAATCTTGTAAATAACAACTTGTGGTAGAGACATCCTACTTTTTGTTCTAATTAGGTGTAAATATAAATCCGATAAATATGAAATACATCTTAAGTCCTATAAATCTATAAATATCCTATAAATATGAGAAGTAAATTTATTTGGGCGTTTTTGGAGTTTAAAGTTTGGAAAAACGTAATCCGAGGCTGTGCCTTTTTTAGTAGGCTCTGTTTCATCGAGACGATGATGATTTTGCTTTGAGAATATCTATAGAAAAGGGATTTTCTCTTTCGAAACCATACTATTACAAGGACATTAAATCTGAAAGAAGGTTACGGAATTTTCAGAGTTTGGTGCGATACTTATGTTCCAACGTAATATAAATAATTTTAGTAACCCTGTCGGAGATCTGTTTTGTAGTATGCTTTGCGATTGAGTATCAAACACAAAGTAGTAGTTTTTCGCCGTAATTTTGACTACGTTCTTAGGCAGAGTACATTTAGATAGCCTTTGT